ATCATGTTACTTCACTCAATAGATAATGTGCTCGTGATGGAAGACACTATTTTTTCCCTACTACAAAGAGAAAAACAAGTTACTGAAGTGAAGCAAGTTACCCCAGTTTCTATGTTGTATTAACACAATAATTCTGTTTCTTTGCCTAATCCCTAAAACTTGATAAACTTGATGAAAAAGTGGACATATTCTATAATTGTACAAGCATTAAGTATTTATGTGTCTAGCCACTGAACAACCCTATGCCAATATATTGCACAGGCTATTCAAATGGGAATGGAACAGCACTGAAAAATAGCCATGAGTGAGAGAAATAAACAGAAAAAGGAAATAAACAAACAGACATCAATTTGTGTTAGGAGTGACTTTGACCAAGAACTCACACCTGCCCTTGCAGGGGATTGCCTCACGGTGTTGGTCAAACATTCCTGTCTTGTACAGGCATCTCTGTTGTTGATGGTTTCCTTTTTTCAATCCTCTGCTGCAGCTAAGAGACTTATGCTGGGAGGATAAATTGATTATTATAATTGTTCATTAATGCACTCTTATTTAATGTACTTTGAGAGGTTATATTCTTCAGAATGATGATAAATTGTGGTAACTCAATGTCACTGCAGCTAAAGGGATGTAAGCATTTCTATTAATATGGAGCCGTTTTCTGGGGTTTTATAATGAAGCTATAAAAAATTGCTGAAACTTAAGGTACAAGTTTCTAGTATGTTTTTTTGCACACAACATTCCCTTGAATCTGATCTAATTCATAGGCATATCAAATCTAATAAGATATTAATAGAGTGGAAAGAATCTACTGAAGATACAGATTCCAACTTGTAGGAATGGAAGTATACAAGGGGAATACACTGCCTTCTCATTAGGTCAAAGCAGGTGGCCCTGTGGTGGCACATGTGACAGGCATTTTGCTCAAAGGGCATCTTGCACCCTGGGCTGGTGTCTTTATCAGGATTCCTGCTGCCCTCTGCCTCAGTCCTAGTAGCTGCACCTGCTGCCCTTCTCTGCACCTGTAGCTCCTGATGCATGGTTAACTCGGTGTAGCAAAACAGTGCTGAATTTATTAAGCCATGTTTATATTCTTGGAAGAGCTCACAAGGAGCTTGCACACAAAGGCAGCTGGCTTTGGAATAAAAATAAACAATTTAACATTAAAATCAGATCCCATCCTAAAAAGTCAGAAGTAGAAAATGATGGCCCACCTTTAAAAATTGTGTGGACTTTGGATATTTTAGTGTGAGATCCTTGAAACAAAGATGACTCTAAAGATTTTAAATTACAGAAAAAGAAAGGATGAGAAATCAGCTAACTATGTTTTCCTGATGTTCTGAAGTTTTTCAAAGATACTGCCAAAAGAGTTGAAGATAAAATTGACCAAAGCTTTTAGAAAAACTTGGTCATTTTTCTCACTAGAGGAACATACAGAGAGAGAATGCTCATTTAATGGGTTTTTAAATATATTTTTCTCCTTGGATTAGAGATAATGAAAGTTATCTCTAAAATTAAGGTACTTGTACTAACTGGTTAGTGCACCAAAGTCAGCACCAAGGCACCAAGGAGCTGTTAACTTCAACTCTGATGCAAGTTCTGCAGGAAAAAAAAGTCTGCTGAGTAACAGCTTGCCTGATCTGATAAGTGAGACTGACAACATGATGGGCCATGCAGAAACGGGAAATAAACATCCTCAACTTACAAAGCAATCCATTTGGTATCTCCTGTCTTACTGAATGTGGAATGGTTTTCTGAAATCATGACAAAACATTGATGAATGGGCACATGCATTATTATAGACTCAATCTCAAGGTAATGAGATACACAAAATTCCTAATTATATTGTAATCCTGTCAATTATGAGTGTATTCTAAAAACAAAAGTACTAAGAACAAAGAAAAGAGAAGGAGACAAGGTAAGATGAGTTCAGAGCCTCACAACAGCATTGTCTTCATGCACCAAGGAATAAAATATTTATTTATTTTGGTCAAAGTTCAAGGGCCTCACATTTTATTAGCCCCCTTTCTTTTCTGTATTCCCTTCATCTTTTTAAACATTATCTAAGGGGTTAATGGACTTCTCCTTTATTTTCCTATTTTATTCTGCATATGCAGAAAAGTAAGCTGTGCCACACAATCCACATGATATTAATGGTCAGTAGGTATTTGTAGGTGAATGTAAGTTTTAGATACACAACTGTGTGGAGACTTTGCTGTTTGACTTTAAAATTGTGCTAGTCACCAATTTCTAATTCTGCCAATCACTGGAATAAAAAATTAGAGAGACCTAAAGCACATACATCTATAGAATGTTAAAGGTTAGGGTATTTTCATTTTTTCCCCTGATGGAGATGAGCCTAAAGACCCTATAAAAATTATATATTATGTATAAATAATTATATAAATTATAGCCATTCCATGAGAAGCCTATAGTCTGAACCACTAGCTCAGAAAACCCAGGCTTTGATCAACAGTAGGTGGAGGTTGGCTCTGGAGAGAGGCATGTTTGAAACACACCAGGAAGAAATTAATCTGCTTCCTTGAGGTAGTGTGCAGTCCCATTATTCCATTACCCTTCTGTTTGCATTTTGCAGTTGAAATGAACATAATGATGATGCTTCTGGTTAAACTGAAATGTGTCTCTTTTTGAGAAGTAATTTGTAGGGGCTTTCAGAGCAAGATTGTAAAAATTGGGACCTTGGACTTAGACACAGGGATTTGAAATGAGATATACCAGCTCTGCCCTCCTGCTTATCAGTTTGACTGCAGCTTTTAGCAATCAAAGTTTCTGCTACCTGATAGCGGTCTTGGGTAGCCTCTGTGAAAGGAGTAATGCCTTCAGTGCATCCCACAAAAGAAAGGGGTTTTTTTCCCCTTAGCATTTCCCTGCATTAGGCAAGGCAGTGCAGTGCTTTGGGATCCCTATCCCTGCACTGCTGCTAGATTCCCAGCAGTGGGAAGTGACAATCTCCATCTGTGCTGACTCTTGAGTGGGCACTGGGTTACATGAGGTTTTATGTTTCTTGAAGTGTTTGAAAAGCAGCTGGGTCTGGATTGGGGGTTTCCAGTGTTTGGGTGGTTTTTTGTTACCAGGCATTGAAAATCCAGCAGGCAGAGGGAATGCATGGAATGGGGCAGAGAAGCCAGTCAAGAGCAGCAAGGAACAAGTGATGCTCCTCTAACCACAAACATTATGTTTGCAGTACTGTTTTTTCAGTGTAATGTAAATAAATAGGCATAAACACAAACCATACCTTTCCAATAAATCCAGCATAGTGCTGCCTTACAGTTAGACACTAAAAGGTATTGATGTCCATGTTTTTACAGTGTTTGACATCCACGAGCTGCAATTCTCAATAGATTCACAATTCCAGTTATCCAAATTTTTCGACACATTATTATTATCCTTTTATAAGTAAGAACCATTAATGACTTCATGCAGTGGTTTGGATTAAGCAGATCAAGGATAAATTAACTAATTTGCACTGAATCACCAAGGGAAGCTAGGGAATGATCCAAGCCAGGCATCTTTGTTTTTAGGCTTCTTTGAAATGCAAAAATATAGCACACTATCTGCAAGGCCTTCCATCCTGCAATACAGAAGCAAAAGACTCAGTCCCTGTTCCACATGTACTTCACCAATCACAGGCTGAGGAAAAAAAATGTTACATGCAGTTAGAATTATGATAATAACAATAATTTACAGGTACCAGGTTTTGTTTCTTTGAGGTATCTCTTTTTTCCTTGGGGGGAAAAGAGTAAAGCAAGGGTAAATATCAAAGTTAGGTTGGGCTAACGTGCACATAGTCATTGTTTACTCTTGTTATCTGTAGTGCCTAGTAAACCCATGAGCTGTGTCCTGGTAAGAAGAAAGACTTGTGAAGACAAATCTTCCTTGTTTCACATTGCTACCAATTTCTGTTCACCTGGAGATACAGAATAAGTATGTTGCCAAGCCTGTGCTTCCTCCTTTCTGCTGGCTCATGAATTCTGCACCTCCTTTCCTGAAGATTGCTGGCCTTTTTTATTTAGGTGGTGAAGTACTCGGTGTTGGGAATGCATCTAACCTTGAAAACATTTTGGGCTGCATGGCCTGAGGCCTGGTAGGTAACACCGGGGAGTTACTCAGCTACAGTTTCTCTCTGATATTGCTGAAACTTCAGACCAATGCTTATCGAGATAAATACAGCCACGTGTTCCACAGCCTCACAGTACAGGTGAGCACGGATTACGTGCAAACAGGAGTAAGTTCATTTCCAGATTGCAAATGTGGCAATAAATTAATTAGTGCCAGCTAAATATTTTACTAGCATTTATGTCTGTTCATACATCAAAAATGATTGCAGACACCCAGCATCAGCACATTTTTATTGATCCATAACTGTTCCTTTCTTGCCCAGCCGAAAACCACCCGGGAGTTGTCACTGCCAAGTGACAACAGCCAAGTGACCCCGCAAGATGAGGCACAGACACCTGGCCAAGGCAGGCGGATCGCGGGCTAGTTGTTTCCGGCTGTTTGTAAATTTCCTCAGTGCTTCTCAAATTTTGCCACACTTCCTGACTTTGGTGTTCATGGGACGCCGCGGGGCGCTTCACCTCGCAAGTGCTGCGCGACTGCGCTTATCTGGGCACGGCAAGGAGCAGGAGGAGCGGCGGGAGCGCACAGGTGCAGACGGCAAGGCCGGAGGGGAGGAGGGGAGCGGGACAACTCTTCACCGCCACCTCGGGCGGGGTCCTGGGAGGAGCGGGGGCGCAGCCGGGCCCGCTCCGCCCCTCTCTACCCTTCCCCTCCCCTCCCCTCGGCGCCGGCCCGGCCCCTCCCCGCCCCTCGCTCAGGGAAGGGGCCGCGGCCGGGGCGGCCCTCCCGCACCCGCGGCGCTGGCCCGGCCAACAAAGGGGGCGCCGGGGCCGAGGGAGGGGCCGCCGCAGGGCCGGGCCGCGAGGGGCGGGGAACAAGGGGGAGGAGAAGGGGAAGGGCGGACAGCGGCGGCGGCTCCTCGCTCAGAAAGTTGTGGGTCCGCCAGCGCAGCGCCGCGGGAGTCGCTGCCGGGGGACGGTGTGCGAGGAGGAGCCGGGCTGCGCCGCGGGGCAGCGCGGCCCCTCCCGCCGCCGCGCCCGAGGGTGAGTGGCGGCCCAGGAGAGTTGCTGTCGGCGGCTGTCCCGGCAGCTCTGGGAGCGGGGCAGCTCTGCGGGCAGGCGGCGGCACCGGGAGGGGCTCGGCGGGGAAAGTTTGTTCCCCAGCTCCGGTAGCGCCGCGGGGCGGGGGGCAGCGCCCGCGGCGGGCGCACCTGCGGGCGGGACGGAGCGGCCGCGGGGAGCCGGGGCGAGGAGCGGCTCCTCCGTAGGGGTGCCCGAGGGCGGCGGCGCCGCTGCTGCGGCCGCGCATCCCGCGGGGAGGAGGTGCCGGCACGCCCGGCCGGCTGCCGGGTCAAAATCCCCGCCGGGGGAGCGGGGGCGGCGGCCGCTCTGCCGGGGCGGCCGGGCGGGGGCGGCCGTGCCCGGGGCCTGCCCCGCGGAGCTCCGCTTCCCCCGCCCGCGAGAGGGGCTGCGGGGCTTCTCCCACACGTGGCTGTCGCGCCCTGGGCCGGCCGGGGCAGCGCGCCTGCCCGTACCCCTGTGCCGCTGGCACTCGGGAGCGGAGCTCCCTCGCTGTGCCACCCCTCGGGCGGGGCTGTCCCCTGCGTGCCAGCCGGGTGACCCGTGGCGGCGAGGGCCGTGTCCTGCCCCTCGGGGGACGGGGCGCCCTGTAGCCCAAGGGTGAGTGAAGCCTGGCTTTCGCGACTGAGGATTCAGCTGTGCTGCTGCACCTTTAGGGGCATCCCGCTTTCTAAATGCCACCGAAAGGTGTCCCGCTGCAGGGGCACAGCGAGGGGCGTGGGCATGGCCAGCAAGCCTCGATCCCTCCCATCGCACGGGAGTCACACCTGGCATGGCCCCTGGAGTCCTGTCCTTCTGCTCCTGTGCTGTAGGTGCTGAGCCGTGGCCCTCCATGGGAGCCTTTTCCCAGCGGATTTAGGCGCCGCCCGTGGCACACCGCAGCCCACGAGCATGGCCCGTGTCTCCGAGCAGGAGGAAGGACCTGGCGGGGGACACAGCGAGTTCAGCGACATCATCAAGTCCAGATCAGGTAAACTGTCGAGGGGAACGCTGTTTTCCTCTTTTCTCCTCTACCCATAGCTTCTGATATAAGCTGACATTTTAAAACAGCACCTTTGTCCAGCGGTTTTTTTTGGGCGTATGTTGGTTGTACAGCTAGTGACTGAGGGTGTTCATGCAGCTCACCTACTGTTACTGAGTAATAGTAATTGTAGAACTCAGGGTTTGTTTTGTTTTGGGTTTTTCTGTCAGTATTAGTCAAGTCTGTTTGTTTGGGATACACCTCTGGCATCATAATTACCTCTACTTTTGTAAATAGCCATGTGCTTAAAGTGCTCTTATGCAACCTAGTGTTGGTGGCTTTCATGTTTATTCTCAGGCACTGAAAATGGCAACTGTGGCTGCAACATTGTACCTCCTGGAAGTGCATCGCGGTAGTACTCATGCAGTAAATTAATGTGCTTCCCCCTTAATGTAAAACAGTTGTCTAAGGCTACTCACTCAGGCATTTCCTCCAGCAAAACATTCGTGTAACAGATCTGAACGTTGTTAGGAAAATGTGGATTTTGTTTGGTTGTAGTGTGCTGGGGTCTCCTGAGGCTCTGATGGATGGTGGGATGAGCAGTGAAGTACTGTCATTTTAGCAGGGGGAGAACAGAGGTGTTGGAGGGACAGCTGAGAGTTGCTTAAACCTTGGTAGAAATTTGTGCTCCATTCAGAGACTGGATGCTGGACTCCTCAGCCTCACAGTCTGAGGCTGTGCATTTCTTACATGCAAAATGCTCTTGTTATCAAAGGTTTTCCTGTGATATCTAGCAAACGTAGCAGTGGTTTCATTTTTTCTTTTTAAAGTTTTCCACATGTTAAAAACTTAAGGTCTTCGGTTGGTTGTGATTTGATGTGTCAGATTACATAGGATGTGGGTTTGATCTGGATCCCATTGGTGTTTGAATTGTTTGTTTCTTAGACCTTTGCTTTCTGCGTCTTCCTCTTCTGGAAGAGCAGTTTATGAAGCAGATGCTTGTGGGTTTTTAATTTTGAATTCTGTAGTGTTTTTTGTTTTCTGCTGTTACTCTGGACATAACTTCATTTGATTGTAAGCATATAGTCAGTATCTTTATGGGCTTTAAGTGTGGGGATAGCTTGCAGACTGCATGTATGTAAGTACTACGGTTTTATAAGGTGTGTGAGGAAACATGGATGTATTGGAGGTTTTTCATGAATGAACAAATTGTACAGTAAGTTCTGTTGTTTTGGTTGGGGCAGCTGATTGTAAATTTCCTGTTACAACCATGTTGAATTTCTTCCATGGAATGAGAAACTGCTGTAAATTTGAATACAAGGCTAACAGACTTGTACATTAATTTAAAAATAGTGAGTGATGACTGATCTTAATTATTTTCTAATTACTATGCTGGTTAGGATCTGGATGTGTGATTTCTTCAAATAAATTACTGTACTACTATAGTTCAGATCTGAACCATTGACTACAAGTAAATCTGCATGAGGGTTTTCCTAATGAAAGGACTGAAGTTTCCTGAAGCCCAGGTGACAGCAAATTGTCAGGACTGAGGAGAAGAATTTTCCTAGATATTATGGAAAGAGAATGCTAATTTTGATGCTTAGAAAGGAAAACTGAGGGTTTTTTTTCTGGGAAGATTTCTCCAGCATGAAATGCTCTTCAGTCTAAATTACTTGAAATACAGTAGAAGTGTTATAACTTACTAATATTTGGAGAAGCTAAGGCCTCTGCAAGGCTTTTGAGACTCAAGAGATCAGAAAAAGACAATCATTTGCTGTCACAGAAAATAGGCTGCTCCGTTTCTTGTTGCTCTGTAAGTTCTTAGCACCAGTGATGTGGGAAGTCTCTTAACACTTTGGTTAGGGAGCACATGCAAATGTGCACTGAATATTTTCACTGAATAAATGAAATACAAAAACCACAGTGGGTGAAAAACTCTCTACATGATTTAATATGTGATCACGTTATTAAATATGTCATAATATTTTTGAGTGTGTATTCTTCCTATGCATTTTTAAATAAGCACACTGAAAACAGTTTATTCTATTCTTGTAAATAAAAGAAGATAGATGTATAACGTCCTGTGTAAAGATCGCTTTCTCTGTGTTCTCCTGGGCAATTCTCTTTGTCTATTTCAATGTTTGTCTTCATCTCTTCTGAACAGATCACCCAGCTGTCAGGATATTGTGGTTATTTAAAACCATTCACGTTCTAGAAGTGATGTTTAAGATCTGTGGCTGAGTCTTTTTTGTTGTTTGTCTTGTAACAACTTGGAAGGAAATTATAATTTGAAATGCCAGAATCTTTCTGGGTCAGACCTTAACAAAGAGTGGTACTAGTAAAAATGTTTCTAAATATTTTGATACAAATGTAAACTTTAGTCTTTAGCAGCCTGTCAACTGAAGGTATTGTTTTTTTTTGTAGTCATTGCTGCTTTAGTTATCTTGCTTTCTAAACCTGTGAAGCAGCTAGAAAGCCATAAAGGTGGCACTGTCAGTGCAGGCAGTGTGTTGGTTATTGAGCTTTGATCTAAAATCACTCTTATGAGACTGTATTAAGACATATAAAGTTTTACACCTGCTCAGGGCTGTGTGGGGCCCATCTATGCTTGTTTTTATTAGAACAAGCTATGTAATTTTTTCTTAGACTTGTAATTGGGAAGCTGCCAGTGTGCCACATGAAGGATTTAGGAGAACTGCAGAAAATCATGATTTCTCTATAGACCAGTCAAAATAAATTAACAGGATTGCCATTTGTCACTTTTACAAAAAAAAAAGAAAAAAAAGGGGGGGGTTGCCTTGGGATTTTACAGATGGGAAAAAGTAATTTTGCAAGTATCTCATTTGTTCTTTGCTCTCAAACTAAGAGGATGAAGGATAAAACACTTTAAATGGGCATCTCTGTATGTTATTGATTGTGTTGGAAACACTTTTTCCTTCAGTGGTCAGCAAAGAAACTTTATATGAATGTGCTAGAATCTGTTACAAGTGATAAGTGCTGATTTTTTTCCAGAGCAGAGATTTTCTATGCCCTTAATGTCACTTCTGTGACTTGGGATGAAAGAAAAGAGACTTTTCCCTGTTGTCCAATTAGTATTTATTGTTTTCTGCTTTGGATATGGCTGTTCTCTAAGTAGTCTGTTAGTACTGATCTACATGTAACTACAGGTTATCTTTGAAGATACCTCTTCTGCACTTAGAATAGTATTTGATGGTGACCAAAGCTGCCTAAAAAATAACTTTTGGTTATTGAGTTTATAAAGGAAGCTGCTTTTTTTTTTTTTTTTTCTCAGAAAGACCAGTGATCTGTTTGCCTCCCTTCTTTCTGTACCAGTGGTGGATGCTGATGGCTGAGTGGTGTTCAGTGGGTAGGATACTTGTTCCTGGATGGTTATGCTAGGTTTATATATTTATAATTTGTATTATTTAGCATTATTACCCTGTACTATGCCTGTGTGTCTGTATAATGGATTGCTATGGAAAAGCAGTTTTGCTTTGTATTAACTTACCTGTAGTATGAAGTAATGTATGTGGAGCTGATTTATATCTTTGAAAGGCCTCTTGTGCAGATAGGTGAGCTTTCCTCATTGCTTTCGGGAAGGAATGCTGTGGGATGATTGCCTTACAGTGGTGAAAACAGTGCTGTCATCACAGGCTTGAAAAACAGATGAGTCTTTGCTATGATTAATTATGGAAAAAAGACAAACTCACTTAAAATCTGTCATGGGAGCTTGGAATGGTAATATATAATTAAACAGTAAGACATAGCAGGAAAAACATTTTTAGAAGATTATGCCTCTGGTGCATTTTAAGATATGAGCTCTCTCTAAATTGAAGGGAACTTAATTCTCCTCAAATATATTTGACTGAAAGACTGCTTTGAGAAATTGTAACTTAGTTTTGGACTTTTGGGGCAAGGCTTATTCTGAGAACTGTTGCTGTTGTCTGTCTGTCCTCTTGCCCTCTGAAGCAATGCTTACTTGGCTGGCAGACCCCTTGCTCCTGGGGTCTCGCTGCCCCATGATGCCACAGGCTGCCCTTGGAACCAGTTCCTTTAGTTGTGTCTCTCACTGCCAGATAACCATGGGCCAAATGTGCTGCTTCTCCTTTTCCATTTTGGCTCTATTGGTGTGAAACTGTCAGGAGTTGTCACAGTTGCATGTGGACCCTTGGGATTCTGCCAAGTGAATGCAGAGTTGATGTAGCCAGATTTGCACTGTGTGAACTCTTCAGGGACATTTGTGCAGATAGGGTGTTAAAGATGAGTGACAAACTTGCTCTCCTTGTTTCTAGCCACTGAAATGACTTTAAGACTAAGCCTTTGGGTTGCTGTGGCCTGGCTTCTTTCTGTCAACTGTGTAGCTTCCTTTTCTTGGGCTGTCTGTTGGGGACAGATTGGATGCTGCAATGAGGACAGTTCTAGGGTATTGCCTAGCATTTATGAAATGACAGATATAGAAGTACCAGGCTGGTTTCTTCTAGCATCTTGATTGGTAGGTGAAGAAATAACATATGCTGCTCCATGTGTTTGAAGCACGACTCTGCCTTGGAATAGAAATTGAGGCTCCTCAGAGAAGGGAAAAAACCCAACCCAAAACCCAAACCATAAAAGCAGCCCATTGATTTGCATGTGCTCTGCCAGGAAAGGAGGACGCAACCCTGAGCAAGAGCTGCTGTGTGAGGCACTGTGAGTAGTAAGTGTTTCTAAAGAGGTCTAAAAGCTGGTGTGGGGAGGGGCTGCTGCTGTGGGAACCCCTCACTGATGAGGATCCTGTGGAGGGGGGGTGCCTAGGTGAGAGGCAAACTAGGGGCAATGTGGGATTCCTTTCCACACTTTCCCCAGTGCCCTTTGGAGGATGGTCCCCCCCTTCTCC